TCCACGAGGTCTTACTGTCTGCAGCAAAACCGATAATTTCGGAATACCAGCATGGATTCGTTCCCCATCGCTCTGCAACAACCAACTTATTATGCTACACCAACGTTTTGTTTCGTGAGATTGAAAGCCGGAATCAAGTGGACTCTGTATACATTGATTTTTCGAAAGCATTTGATACTGTTCCGCATAGCTATGCCGTGGAAAAGCTGAGACATATGGGTTTTCCCGATTGGATAGCCGACTGGCTAATGTCTTACCTGACTGGTAGGAAAGCATTCGTCCAGGTGAACTCAGCACGATCCAGGACCTTCTACATTCCATCTGGAGTTCCACAAGGGAGTGTGTTAGGTCCATTGATCTTTGTGCTCTTCATCAATGACTTGTGCCTGCAAATATCTTCTGGAAAGTTGTTTTTTGCCGACGACCTCAAAATCTTCAGAGTCATCAAGTCTGTTTTGGACTGTGTTGCTCTGCAGATTGACATCGATGCCCTTTCACGATGGTGCAAGGAAAATGGAATGTGCGTGAACATCAATAAGTGCAAGGTGATCACTTTTAGCCGTTGTTGGATTCCCATCAATCATCTTTACAATATTGACACTGCTCCGCTGGAACGTGTGCAGTCTATCCGTGATTTAGGAGTTATCATGGATTGTAAGCTTCGATTCAACGAACATATATCCACCGTTACTGCCAAAGCCTTCTCCGTTCTTGGGTTCATTCGCCGCAATGCATCTCAATTCACCGACGTGCACACATTAAAAGCCTTGTTCTGTGCTTTAGTGCGAAGTATCCTGGAATATGCTGCTCCCATTTGGGCACCGTACCATACATCTCAGGTGATCCGCATCGAACGTGTGCAGAAATCATTCATTCGCTTTGCTCTTCGGCACCTACCGTGGAATGATCCTGTCCATCTACCTGCATATCCAGAACGATGTCAACTAATTGATCTGGAACTGCTATCGGCAAGACGGCTGAAATTGCAGCGGCTGGTTATATTCGATATCGTCCAGAATAACGTCGACTGTTCGGATCTTCTCCTGCAAGTATCACTGAACGTTCCACAGCGTCAGCTGCGGTACTCAGCACTTATCGCAGTTCCCGCACATAGAACATGTTATGGTCATAACAACCCGCTCAGTTCTTGCCTCAGAGCTTTCAACAATGCTAGTGATTTGTTTGATTTTAATGTGTCCAAAAATTGTTTTAAAAATAGGATTAAAAACATAGCATAAGTTAAACTAGTCTGTACGACACTGTCGAAGACGAAGAACAAATAAACAAATAAACAAATAAACTATTCTTAACGTGGCCTACAAAGTGATTTCCCAGATCATCTTTCACCATTTATCGTCGCTAGCAAGCAGATTTGTGGGAAGTTATCAAGCTGGTTTTGTGGACGGGCGATCGACAACGGACCAAATCTTTACGTTGCAACAAATCCTCCAAAAGTGTCGTGAATATCAAGTCCCTACGCACCACTTATTCATCGATTTCAAGGCCGCTTATGATACTATTGACCTTGAAGAGCTATGGAAGATTATGGACGAGAACGGTTTTCCCGGGAAGCTGACCAGACTGATCATGGCTTCGATGGATGGTGTACAGTGCTGTGTGTAGATATCGGGTGCGTTGTCGGACTCGTTTGAAACTCGCAAAGCACTTCGAGAAGGCGATGGTCTTTTCTGCCTCCTGTTCAACATTGCGCTAGAAGGTGTTATGAAACGTGCGGGCTTTAACATGCGGGGCACGATCTTCAATAAGTCCAGCCAGTTCATCTGCTTCGCTGACGACGTGGACATTGTCGGAAGAAGGTTTCAGGCCGTGGCGGAGCAGTACACCAGGCTGAAACGTGAAGCAGAGAAGGTTGGATTAAAGGTGAATACGTCGAAGACAAAGTATCTGTTAGCTGGAGGAACCGAGCGGAATAGGGCTCGCATAGGCAGAAGCGTGACAATCGACGGAGATAAGTTTGAGGTGGTGGATGAATTTGTGTACCTCGGATCATTGGTGACGTCGGATAACAACTGCAGCAGAGAAATTCGTCGGCGTATTATTGCCGGAAGTCGTGCTTACTACGGACTCCACAAGACCCTGAGGTCGGGTAAACTTCATCTCCGTACTAAATGTACCATGTACAAGACGCTGATAAGACCGGTAGTTCTCTACGGGCACGAGACGTGGACGATGCTCGAGGAGGACCTGAAAGCACTAGGTGTTTTCGAACGACGAGTGCTTAGGACCATCTTTGGCGGGGTATGTGAGAACGGTGTATGGAGGCGAAGGATGAACAACGAGCTGGCGTAAGTCTATGGCGAACCCTGTATCCATAAAGTTGCGAAAGCTGGACGGGTACGATGGGCAGGACACGTTTTAAGAATGCCGAACAACAGTCCCGCAGAAATGGTGTTTGCCTCGAATCCGGCCGGTACAAGTCGAAGAGGAGCAAGGTGGTTAGACCAAGTGGATCAGGATCTTGAAAGTGGGGCGGTCAAGTAATTGGAGACAAGCAGCCACGGACTGAGTGAATTGGCGTAACATTGTGATGCAGGTGCAATCCTGAGGGATGTCGGACCAGGATAAGTAAGTAAGTATCTAATAGACCAATACTTGAAAAATATTACTTATAGATTATTTACTGAAAGGAAAACAAGTGATTTAAGAAGATTCCCAAGATTCTAAGGCTTTGAAATTTGTGTAGAGCCTGAAACTAGAACTTTTCTCCAACATTTGTGATTTATTACAATCTTCGTGATGCAAGATTTGGAGAAAAAAAGTGAGATTTCGAAAAAAATTCAAGATCATAGATTTAAAAAAAAATATCGTTCTTATGAATCGTGGAGTCATAATTGTCAAGGCAGTGAGACTTGAAAAGAACAAATTACAGAGCAATCGATAGAATCTTGGAATTTTTTGTAAAATTTAAAAGTATTCGAAGTGTTGATTTCAACCAAATATTGAGGAATACACAATTTTCGAAGGAGAAGTTGTGAGCAGAATTTCAGAAGTCCGTAGAAATTGTTAGATTGATTTGAAGGGATTTCTGTGGAGAAGAATGCACGTACTCAATGAAATTTTTAGGTAATTTTTGAAAATTTCAAAAGGAGTTGTGAAAAACTAACTCTAAGGAAAATTCTTACGTGATTCTGAGGATGAGGATCGTGAGGAAAATTACAAATCAATTTTAAGAAGTGGGGGTGACCCCGGCATAGTGGTTAACATCCATACCTCGCACGCCAAAGTCACGAGTTCAAATGTCACCCCCAGACAAGTCACGAATGACCCAAGAGTGTTAAAGTGACTATAATAATAAAAATAAAAAAAAAAAATTAAGAAGAATTCCAAGGCAATTATAATGAGAATTTAAAAAGAAACAGAGTTCTAAGAGTGTTCTGGCGATAATTTCAATCCTAGTGCGAAAGTTTCATCACAGAGCTCAAACAAAATTTATTGAAAAAAATTGCTAATAATTATAAAGAAATTCTTTAAAATACTCCAAGGGGATTCTAAATAAAATTTCGAAAGATTTATCCTGAAAAAAAAATTCAAGAGAGTTTCAAAGGAATCAAAGTCTCCGAATAGGTTCAAGGGAATTCTAAGAACGATTCCAATCAAATTCTTAGAAGGGGTTTCAAGGAAATTCAAAAAAAAAATCAACGGTAAGTGTTTTCTGCTTGATTTTAGAAGAATTTCATGAATTCCAAGTTAAATCTGGAATTCATAACACGAGAATTTTGAATAACGAAACATTAAAACCCCGGAAAAGTATAGTTCAGTTTGCAAAGTTCAGCATCTTCATTATTTTATTTTAAGTTTAGATTAAATTCTAAAAACAATACGACGGGAAACTGCTGAACATTATGAACTAAATAGAACAAGATATTCATTTGGAAAAGGTTCACTCTGTTTTAATGGTTTATTCTGAAATTCTGGTGTAAAAATGTGTTCCCGGTATTATCGGTTTTCTTGGTTCACTGGCCATCCTGTAGCTGTTTCGAGGTACTTAAAACTTCTTAAAAGTTTCCAAAATTTTCCTCAAGTTCACTATATATCTGAAGACATCTTGAGAGTTCCTAGTTCTACAGTTTTTCGAAAGCTAGACGCAAATCGAAATTGAATGTTAGCTGCATTTCCTATCATCCTCCGTAGCGAATAGTGCGGCCAATGGTATAAGTTGACCTTGCAGACGATGCAAGGATTTTTATCTTTTTTATTTCGTGTTCTGACTATGCTTTCGACTATACAAGCAAGTTTTTGCCGTTCTTTTTATTTATTATATTGTAGAACGACGCACTTGCCCTGATTATCTCCATTTCCCGTTCAGCTGGAAAAGCATACGAAATCGAGTTTTCGTACTATGAGCGCTCCTTATTTTAACCTATCCATGTTCTGAAGCATGGAGAAAGCACAGGTCTGATAATTACAACGTTCGTGGTTCAGTTCAATCGGCAACCTTTTTTATATTTTTTCGACATAATTAATTTGGCTCACTAATACACTCCAAATTTTTCGATTTTCATTTCCTTGCATTGGACCGCAGCTCGGTATACCTCATCCTCCGATCATGCAGTCTCCACTGACACCCTGCAATAACGAATCCTTCAAGCAAATCTTAAATCCCCTCGGTTGGGTGTAATAGAACCGCAATGAGGATCTTAAAGCTACCAGTAAATTCCCCATGCAAAGGATGTTAACTTTTGTTCCGCAGTTTGTTTATGAAGCATCACTGACATTTTCAGCATTTCCTATCTTTCATCAGGACTTCTGTAAATTTCCTACAATTGTTGTGAAGATAATGGGACTTCACTGAAAATATCCTATCTTTCATAAAGTTCATTACAAACTTGAAATAAATCATTTAAAATGTTTAATATCTTGAACTTTTACATGGAATACAAAACACCAAGAGTTAAGATATGAATTTCACAAAAAAATTAATAAATTTAAATGTTTTGTTTACACAAGGAATCAACCCTGAAAACGATACTGACGTGCTGTGCTGACTACAGAAACAGATCTAGAGAACAATGTTCAAAAATGAGCACTATACTTATCCATTAGTATATCCTTGCCTAGCGAAAGCAGCTCGGGGACTTAAAAATGCATAATAAATGTAAATTCCAAATCCCTTGCCACTCAAGTTGTACCACACACTTTTCAAAGCTTTTAACTCAAACCACGTGAATAGTAGCCCTCATGCCCAGAGTCAAAACTTTACCATCAATTTAGCGACTTACATGATGAGAGTCCAATGCTCTCACCTTCCAGAAAGCCAGCGTCCTACACAAGGACGCATCAAATTTAAATCAAAGTTCTACTTTCCTTTCTGTTACGTGAAGTATCCATTCGTAAAACTACTCAAAGCGGATTTGCATTCAAACCGTTTATTCCCCCATCATCCTCGGAGCCAAGAGACGGTAAAATCTCCATTTACCCACGAATGCACTTTTCAACTTTCATTTGCCAGAACAAAAAGCAGCACCCTAGCTGTTCATCCTAAGACGGTGCTTATTTTAATCATCACAGTCGCAGTTCCTTCCAATGATATCGGATTGGTTAGGAATTGAACTGCCGTGGAGGCATCATAGTGCAGCTCTTGTAATGGAAGTCCTCTCGTGAGACTACAGTTCATAGCCAGCACAAGCAAAGGCACTGATTGTGAACCAGTATCCAACAGGTTCGGAGCTCTGTGGTCTCTACCTAAGCGTGGAAAATGGAAGGAAATTATCTTTCGAACCGCTCTTTTCCGTTCTTTGGAAGTTCTCTGGTGCGTCGCTGGGACAAACGAGCATTAGGGAGGAGGGATATCCGGCCGAGTGTAATCCGCTTAGTACTAATTCTTAATTTATTTAATGAAGTAATTTTAGGGAGTGGGAAGTGAGGGAAAACTTTTTTTTATAAAGGCAGAAGAGGATAATTAATAGGGCAGTGGAAGATAGTGTCTCCCGAAGGAGGCGATTCTATGGCAGGCAATTTTTGCGGTTATTGGTTTTTGTCGAAAATTGCTTTCGATGATGGCAGATACTTTTTTCCGACAATTGGATGCCTGGGAGAAATCAGTTTGATGGCGGCAGCATCCCGGTCTTGATAAGAGTCCACATGCGGCTGGAGGAGGTCGAACAAAGTTTAATAACATTTGGGACCTTTGGGATTGGTGAGAGTTTTTTGCTCGTTTCCATCGCTACTATACCCACTGAATTGAAGAAGTTCCCAACCGCAACACTGTATAACATTCTAATTACATTGGAAGAAAATCGATCACGAATGCCAGATACATCCACAAAAGGAGCCAATCAGACCGGAAGTTAGTAGGCAAGCTGCAATCGAATCGAGCTTTTTGGGCGGCTCCATTTTCCATTGAACTGCTATCTTGATGATGCAGTCAGTCGCTTCAGTCGACGCACAGTGGAGTAAGTAAGGCAAAAACTGGGTCACAATTATTTTTATTTTATTTTGGGTGATATTAGGTATCGAAGCAATGTAAAATGTGATCATAATTGTTTTTGAGTCAAATTAGAAAAAAAGGTGTGGATACAAATTTTTCCAAATTTGATCTAAAATAGTAGAAAATAGTAGATAGTACAGTTTTCGAAAGGCTGGCAATTGCCGATCCGAACGAGTCTAGATAAGTTCTCTTCACTAATATGTTGAGAACAAATTGTTGTTTTGTTCGTGTTTTATTATATTTTATTTTATTTTTTAAAAATCTTTAAAACAAGTTAAAGTATTAGAGATTATTATCTATCAACTATTTAGCATTGAAGGCAAGGAACGGATGTTCTAAGAAATACTGTGCATTGATAATTTTGTTTACTTTTGGTAAGGTTTGGCACTTAATGGTTGATTAAAAAAATAAAGCTCTTAATTATGTCAATGTTCAAGCACTTTGTGTAGCCCCAAGTAATACACAAGCCATCATTTAATATAATAATTTGAAAAGCTTGTTGTATAAACGTATTATAAGTGATGCAGAAAACATTCAACGTTTTAAAAGAGCAGTTCCACGCCAAATGACGAACCTGCATAATTGTGTGTTACAGGCAATAATTCACATTTTTACGAAAATTCGGCCATTTTGGATGTTGTATTTCTTTCAATATGGCTTCTTTGACAGTTTTCAATAAATTGAAGCACGTAATCGTCACTTCTAATCGCAATGACGTCTGAGACAAAGTTTTAGAGAAAAATTATGCCATTCTGAGAAAAATATACAATATTTTTTAGTACAAATTCCAAAAAAGGGTTAATATTTCAGTAAGCTTATCTTTATATATTTTTTAAAAGCTCATAAAAAATGCAAACTTTTGGAATATTTAAAACCATGGACACTTCAAAATTGACAAAAATCGTTGTACAAGAACTTTTGGTCAAATTTTTGATCATCAGAGTTAGTCGCGGTAGCCATAGTATGGTGATAGAGATCAGTGACGTTTCCTTAATCTCAATCTACTTGTGCACCAACTCTGAAAACATAAACAATTATCAAAATATTGCTTGCAATGGATATATATCGAGTAAACTAGAAGATTAAGTGTATTTTCAACCGATTCGAGCATGAATATGGCATTAAGGGGAACCTTACCGGCCCGAAAATAAAAAAAAAATAATTTCGATAAATTTTATTTTTCTAAAAATATTGGAAAAAAATATAAAAAATCCAAGAAAATCAGTTTCTTCCCTAGATTTTTTTCAAAAATTACATGTAAAAATATTTTTTCTATCTTATCATGAAAAAAAATTGAACTCTCAGCAAAACCGAAAAATCGATGTTTTGTGGTTTTTTGAGTCCAACTTTATGCCATAATAACTCATACAAAATGTTTTTGCACGTGAATTTTCTTTGAAAAATTAGACAAAATGTGATTTTTTTTAGATTTTTGATATCTTTTTCCAATATTTTTAGAAAAATCAAAACGTAATTATTTTTTTCGGAGCGGTGAGCTTCCCCTTAAACCTGGTTTTGAAAGTTGGTGCACAGGTAAAAAGTGAGGTTACGGGACGCCACTGGGAAATACTTCACCAAACCCGAGCGTCTGTTCACCATGGAGGTGAGGCTCAAAACGGCGTCTGTTCTTGATGTTACGAGCGGCTGTTCAGCGTCCTAGTGTCAATAAAGAGAGCTGTGCACAATAGTCTCCCGACGAGACAGCCAGACATGATCGGAACAATCGGCACCAGAGGAGAATAATGCAGCACTGGCGAGAATGCTGCAACACCGCACGATATTGAATGTGAAGCGATACAGACAAGCGCGGAACAGCAAAACTCCGTTTTCCGAAGGAAGAAGCGTCGGAAGACCGATTTCGCGAGGTGATGGAAAATCTGTTACACTTCTACGAGAGGCTAAATAGTTCGCGCGAAGGCTACGTGCCGCAAGCCGATATGCGCAAGGACTGTGACAAGGACTGAAACGAGTGTGAGGTGATTGAAAGCTGGAAGCAGTACAATGACGAACACCTCAACGGTGGTGCAACAGAAAACGAAGGTGGCACAGCAACAGACCTGGGAGCACGCGCAGAAGACGACAGGCTACTGGTTCCTTGTCTCCAAGAAGTTGAGGAGGAGATCGGTCGGCTGAAAAACAACAAAGCAACTGGTGTAGATCAACTACCAAGCGAGCTTTTAAAATACGGTGGTGAAGCACTGGCTACAGATCGCTGCACTGGGTAATTGCCAAGATTTGGAAGGAGGAAATATTACCGGAGGAATGGATGGCAGGTGTCATATTCTCAATCAACAAAAAGGGCGACAAGTTTGATTGCTGAACTACCGCGCGAGCACACGGCTGAGCGCCGCCTGCAAGGTACTTTCCCAAATTCTATGACACCGGATATCACCATTTGCAAGAGAGTTCGTGGGGCAATACCAGGTGCGATGCATCGGTGGCTGCACTACCACGGACCGAATTTTCGCGATTTGGCAGGTTCTGCAGAAATGCCGCGAATACAACGTGCCCGCACATCGTTCATCGGTTTCAAATCCACAATCGATCGAGATCAGCTATGGCAGATTATGCAGGAGTACGGATTTCCGGATAAACAGACGCGATTCGTCAAGACGACGATGGAGTCCCTTTGAATCTCGAAGGGGGTGTTACGGCAAGGTGATGGACTTTCGTGTCTGCTATTTAACATCGCTTTAGAAGGAGTGATAAGCTTTGAAAGACACGCATGGGAAGATCTTCAGGAAGGCCATCCAGATTCCTGGCTTCGCCGATGACATCGAAATCAACTTTGAGACGATGGCGGAAACGTACATAGAACTGAAGGCTGAAGCCAGGCGGATTGCCCTCAACGCATCGAAGACGAAATATATGAGAGGAAGAGGTTCTAGGGAACACAATGCTTCCCACAATGCTTAAAATTGACGGTCACGAAATCGAGGTGGTCGACGAGTTCGTGTATTTGGGCTCACACTTGGGTGACCACTGAAAATTATATCAGTAGAGAGATTCTAAAACGCATTATTGCAGGGAATCGTACCTACTTTGGACTCCGGAGGACGCTCCGGTCAAATAATATTCGCCGCCGCACGAAATTTACTTTCTACAAGACGCTGGTTAGAATGGTAGGACAGAAGGCGTTGCGCACCATCTACGATGGAGTGCAGATGATTGACGGAACGTGGAGGAGGCCAAATAACCACGAATTGCACCAGCTGCTGGGAGAACCATCCTTCGCCCACATTGCAAAAATCGAGTGACTACGGTGGGTTGGGCACGTCGTAGAGTAGAAGGCGACCTGCGGACCTTTCGCAGACTACGAGGCTGACGACGTGTGGCAATTAATCGAGTAGAATGGAGACGACTTCTTCGGACAGCAGAGGATTTCAAGGCCTTAGTCAGATTGGTAAGTAAGTCAGTTATTATAGTTATTATAGTTACGTACCACGCCAAGGACTCCCATACCCGACTGTGTCTTATTTTTGTTTGGATTACATTTTTTTTGCCATTAAAATTGATTGGTTATCATAATGTTTTACAAAACATGTTTTAGACCAATATTTAGTATTATAAGCTCAGCTTTTGCATGATTTTGTATTTATTTCTATAAATGACAAGTCGTTACAACAGAGATTTCTTTTTTTTCTTGGTTTGTTTTTCGTCGATCTTGT